TACATTGAAATCAGAAGAATTCTCATTATCTTATTAATATAATGAGTTGAATTACTGTATTATCATGAAGTCACAGTTGCAGTAATCTTTGATTTAATTCAGTAGAAAGTTCTTGAATTCTTCTCAAGTTATAATAGCATTGATACACTCAAGCTCTCTGTTCTTGATAATTCAAGTAGTCACAGAGATGCCTTCAAGGAGGTTGACAGTGTATATTACTTATATCTCATGAGTATTATACTGGCTCAGGTTAAGGCAGAATTTTCATTCAAGAATACAGATAAAGCTGTGAAATTCAGACAAGATGTTTTTCTTATATCTCAGAGAATCTCTGACCTTAATCTCTCTATCTCCATGATAGATGTAGGTGTGTAGAGGCTGTGGCGGTGACAGAGTGATTGAAGAGCTCATGTTAAAATGCACAGTAAGTTCAGAAATCTCAGATTTCTGCCAGAGTAGAGATGTACATACTCTAGAAAATAATGTAGTGTTTCTTTCAGAGAGTGAGATCAGATCAGTCTCAGTGTAAGTGCATGAGATTATATTAATCTGTTAGAGCTTGACTGATTCAAACATATAATCAGATTGAGTGATTTGAATTGTAATATGACAGAACTGCAGCAGTGACTAGTCAGCAGTATCATGTAGAGATAGTTGTTTAAGAAGCTGTATAAGTGAGCTTGACTATCTTACTTGAATAGTGAGCTCATAGGCTACAGGGTTATTGCAAGAATATCACAGATATGATACTTAGTATACTAAGAAGATTGTATGAGATACATAGTAACTCTTATGTATATTTCAGTAGAAGAAAAAGAAACAAATCACTGACTTCTTTGATAAGAAGCCAGTATCTAGCTATTCTATATAGACAATGAACAGATATTCTTCTCTCATTTCACAAGTAAGAATAGCTGAAGTGATACCTCAGTAGCATCTCATTGCTAAGAAAGAGTAATCTACTGACCTCATATAGAAGTGAGGTTCTCATATTTATCAATCAGATCTTTCTATGATATATCTGAATGATGTCATATAGTGATTGGAAACCGGTTCGGTCAGCCTGCGGGATGGATGAAATCATCCGCATGGAAGCGATGGGCCGTGTGAAGCCGCAACAGGGCCTTGGCGCGGCCGGGAGCGTGACACTGACTCTCTTATTAAGAACCTCACTCTAGAGAAGCTGCAGGCTGCTTTTACTGCTGATACTTCACAATCTGTCATGATTTTGAATTCACTTACACAGTTTGCAGAGAGTCTTCATGAAATTCATTCTTTTTAAGATACAAAATATTGTTAGCTACAAGTCTATATTTGAAATATCAGATCTCTGTATCTATTTCTTACTCTCTCAGCTGTAGATCATCACTGAGATGATCTGATACATTACTTTTCTGACTATGTTATTTAAAAGCACAGCACTGATCTTGAGAGGTTGAAGTTTGTAAGAGATAGTATTTATAACTATTTCACTATAATCACACATTACTTTCATCTATAACTTACAATCTTCAAGAAAAAGATTCTAGATCTGAAATTCAAAATTCTAGATCACTGAACTTGTTATAAGTGACAAGACTGTGAATCAGTGCACTCACATAGTGTATTTTAATGTAAGAATGCACTGAATCTCAAACTTGATATAAATGAAGACTCTCATCAAGCCTTTGCTGACTACTGAGACCTCATTATTACAGCTGAGAATTCTGAGCCTAATCACACTCAGTCTGAAGATGCACAGTCATCTCTTTCCCTCAGCCATTCTGATCAGATAAATGTCATTGAACATTTATCTACAGTTCTCAACTGTATTCAATATCATCACTGTAGTGAAAAGTACTGCATTTATAAACACCAGATCACTGACAATCTACATTACTGATTTCACTTCTCACATGAATGTCAGACTGACTGTGCTATTCTTAAACCTTTGAATAGTAGATATTATCAGCTGCACTCTCATTATAATGACTCAATTCTCAATAACTATAACAGATTGATTACAGTTAGCTGACTAGCAAATACTGACATTGCTCCCTGCACTGACAGCTGTGCTATTCTTAATTATCTGTCTAAGTACATTGCCAAGGCTGAAACAGACACAGAATCCTATCATCAGATTGTTCAATAAGTGATTTCAAGAATCAGTTCAAGTCACTCACTGCTCTCTATGATTGTTAAACTTATGAATCAGCTCATTGATGAGTGTGATTGATCTGCTCAGAAGATTTGTCATCTTCTTTTAAATCTTTCTTTACAAATGAGTTCTCATGAGTCAATTACAGTTGATTGTCAGCTCAAATCTCAATATTATCATAGCTATATTCTTGAATCTGATGAATTACAACATGATTCATTCTTTTTGAAAAAATATAAGTAGCAGTCAACTGAATTTGAAGATCTTTCATTTCTTGAATTTCTTTGAATCTTTTCTCACAGTCATCAAATTAAGAGATGTTCTTATACAAAATTCTGAGTGTTGATCTACTTTTCTGTTTATCAGTTCAAAACTGATTCAGAGAACTATACTTATGTCAAACTTCTTCTTCATCACTCTTTTCATCAAATTGAAGATCTCAAGATTGTTGATCTCCTCATCTCTTAACCCTCTTTTACAGAGGTCTTTAATTATTGCTGTCTTTCTCATAATCACTCAGTTGATGCCTATGGTGAAGACATGCTGGAATCAGAACCTGAGTTTGAAGATGGTTAAAATGATGAAGAGGAGCTTGATCTCTCTTGAGCATTGCTCACCTATCAAAACTCACAGTGTGATAATGATGATCTCATTGACATCTAAAACTGTGAACAGCTTGATCATCAGTCCTTAGATTTCAACTATGATTGAAGCTCTCATGTTGACACTTATATCAATCTTGACACAGAATTTTGAAACAATATGAAGACTGACTTCTTCACAGATACTACTCTTCATGAACATGACTCACTCAAGACTCTAGGCTCTGATTAACACCTTCTTCATGACACTATTCTCTATCATTATACTGAGATTCTTAACAGCGGATCTCTGAATCCTTTGCTAATTAATCTAAATAGTGAAGATGACACTGATAAAACTTATCTGATTATAATTTTATCTACAACTCTTCAAAATCTTGCAGAGACTCAAGATCTCTCAATCTCAATTATTCAAGCTGTGTCAACTGATATAGCTGCTCACTTCATTAACACTTGAACCTTGCATGCATTATTTCAGCTTCTCATACACAAGAACATGTCATATGAACTGCTCAATCCTCAAAATCTTCAATCTTTGCAGGCCCTTTTTAAGGATGTTCACTATCTGTTAATTGATGAAAAGTCAATGATTGATTTACAGCAACTTTCATAAATCAATCAGGCCTATCATTACATATTTTCTCACAAGAACACTTATTTTGATGATCTCAGTGTCATTCTCAGTGAAGATTTCTATCAGCTCTCATCTATTTTTCAAACTCTGCTCTATCATAATAAGTGTATTGATTACAAAGAAGACATTCAGAGCTGTCAAATCTACTTAGCTTTTAGTAAAATCATTCAATTTACTGTGATTTAATAATAAGTGAGTGAAGATATCATCAGCTGTCAGTTCTGTGAGACCTTGAAAAATCTTCATCTTGATCAGTTAACTCTGAATGATTAAGAGTTTCTTTCAAAGCATGTACAGACTCTTATCTCTCATGAAGCCTCAGTCTTTGAGAATGTAATTCACATTTATGTAAAGAAGTGCCATGTTCATGTCTATAATGATGATACTATTCAAAGCTGTAAACAACCTGTTATTAATATTCAGGTCATAAATGTTGATATAGACACTTCTCAGTTAGATTCTGATAAGGCTGATAATCTTCATCAGAATCTTTCTCTCTTTATCAGCTGCTGAATCATGCTTCTACAGAATATTTGAACAGACTGCAGCCTTATTAACAGTGCTCTTAAGATTCTTCATGACATTGTATGAAGTTCAGATGTGAAGAATCTCTGTCAAGATTCTTCATTTACACTGCTAATCAATTTTGATAAATATGATGACTCTGCTTATTTGAAATGAGAGGATCTTAAACTTGTGCCTATCTTTCACAGCTGTTATGACTTTTCTCATGTTAATCAAGCCTGCAGCTGCATGCAGTTCTCTATTACAGTTGCATATATCATTACTGTTTATAAATCCCAAGGATTATCACTTGATTGAGCTGTTCTTGATATTTCTGAGACTGAATTCCAGACTGGTCTCACATATGTTGCAGTTTCACAGGTCAAAATATATCAAGATCTTCTGTTTGAACAACTCTTTGATTATTCCAGATTTCATCAGTCTGATGATGAAGTAAGCAGAAGCATGCAGATGTGTGAGATTGATTATATAAGATATCAAAGTTAATAGATAACTAAGTTATATTTCTTTTCTTTTTGTACATCTCTGCTAATCTATATTCTATATAGCTTCATTCACTCTTTATTTCATCTTTTTCATGATTCACATTTAATCTGTTCATTCACTTGTTCTTCATTGCTGTAAGTTCTTCATTCTCTATTCTATCATTCTCTCTGCCTGTTCTGCTTGTAGATTCACTGAATTCAATCATTGAATTTGACAAATCTATTGCAGCTGATTCTATTATAATCACTGAACCTGAGAATGAGCAGTTAGCAGTCTATAGAAGATATTGAAATAATTCAGATATTAATCTATACAGCTCAGATTTAATATAATGATATCTTTGATCTGAGAGATTGAGAATCTTCTGAGACCTGTGTTATTGAGGCCTGTGTTGCATTATATGATAAGAGATATTGAATTCTTGCAGCTGTCAACACATGTATAAGAAGAAGTGAATGAATCTCAGAGTGTTTTCTTTCTCTTTGAAGAATTTATCTTATCTCTCACCTCTCATCTCTGCTAGCTGTTTTTTTTTTTTCAGAAATCATGTTATTTATCTCTATTAATTCATCAGAAGTTCAAAAAATCATCAATACTATTATTATAGCTGAAAACAATGTCTCAAAACATGTTCATTGTAAGTAAGATTCTCAAAATAATGAAAATTGCAATTCTAATAGTCAGCACAGTTCTCAATAACCTTATTCAGTCTGTCAAGCTGTCAGCTGTTAATCTCATTCTCAGTTCTGTGTCTGCACCTGCATCTGCCTCTGCTGCATCTGTCAGTCCTAGATTATCAAGTCAACTGTTGACTCATTTGACTGAAAGAATGCCTGAGAAGCTGTTAAAGAAGCTACAGACTCTCATTAAATTACTCTATACTCATGAGCCAGTCTTGCAGAAAAGTCATCAGATCAATACAAAAATCAATACAAATTATGAAGCTCTTCTTCTACAATTCTGTGATGCTGTTTTTACAGTTCTCTGCAGCCACTGTGTCAGAGAAGAAGGCTCTTTTACCATCTGCATCAGTGCTCTGAATCAGTGTTATGAAGCTTGTGCTAGTTGTCATTACAATAGCACTGAAAGTCACTGCTCTTATCATAGAAGTGAGTCACTTTTCAATATGAAATATGTCAATTTCAATACAATTAACTAATAGTTATACATAGTCAATGTCAGTAAGAAGAATGATAAAGTGAAAGAAAAGAAGCAGAAGAATGAAAAGAGAAAGAAAGTCAAGAAGAAGAGTTTATTCAAGAAGCATTCTGCAGCTGAGAATACAGAAGCTAGAGTCTTGAAAAAACAGATGATAAGTGTTAAGTCAGTTAATAATCATGATATTGAGATTTTAACTCTTTGTATTGAAAATGAGGCTCTGCACAAGAAGAATGCAGCTCTGAAGATCAAATTCAGAACTATTACAAGTCTTCTTCAGGCCACTCAAACTGTTCTTGAGAATGACATATGAGCCGGCGGGACAGGGCAGGATGTTTTTTGTTTTTTTCCTTGCTTAGTTAGCTGGTGCTTTTGCACTGAAAAATGAATCTCTATATGTTTTTACAGTTCTATCTCTTCTATTATTATTAATAATAAGCTGTAAAATCAATCTTGTGAGGTCTTCTGTTTTGAGCTTAGCTCCGCAATGTCTTTGCACACAGAGGCTCGTGTGCATTAAGATATTTTTATACAGAAGGAAATACAGGTGTTGAGATTATGTCAGAATAATAAGAACATAGGAAAATACAAAGAAGTGACAATTAGATACATGTGATAATAACTTCTCAGCTCAGAAACATAGAGTGATTCATTGAAGCAATTTGTACACCTCTGTATTTATTAGAAACCTGAGATGCTTGAGTTCTGGATTTAATGTATTCTCTACAGGTTTTGAACTCACACGTCTTGGTTTCCCACACCAAGGCACTACTGAGTGGCCGCATTAACTATTCAGCCACCGGGGCTGAGAGTTATGATAGTTGTATTAACTCACTGAGACTTAGAATGTTCATTCTTGAACTTGCTTATACAGTTTGTCAACTGTTTCATAAGATTATCAATATTGATATTGTGTATAGAGTTCTGGCCAGATGTGTAGAAATTGTCTAAATATATCTTGATAGAAGACTTTTAATGCTTCTTCAGATCAATAAGAAAGAGATTATAATAGAAGTTCTCTAAGTTATTTATCAATTTCTTATAATATACAACTAGATAACAGAATCTTTTTTGAAATACCAGATAATTATTATCTTTAATATGTAAGATGATCAATTCTTTCACAATATTCATACATTTCTCTGCAAGTGAGATAGTATATTCAACTTCAATTCTTTTTTATAGTATAACTGTATTATCTGACTCAAGAGTTTCAATGATTGTATGTACAGACTCTAACAAGAACTGTAACATACAGTAATACAGTGCTTTAATATAAATGCTTTATTTTTCAGTATTTAATGTGTCTTGACTGATGTCTTCTGAGTAGACTTGTTAATTTTTTATAATAATATCAGATCTGCTGATAACTTCAGCATTCACAAGAATTTCTGTACATCAGATCTTGTAGTTATTGCTATCAAATGTGATTATAGCTTTGATATTCATAGCTTTTTGAACATTCTTTTGATATTCACAGAACTCAGATTTGAAATCATCTGCTGTAGAGATGACTACTTGATATATACTCATTCTGTCACAGAATGCTATCAGATTATTAAATGTCATTGATATTATATTATCTAAACTCATTCTAGATATGATACTTGTGTGTCATACTTCTATACATATTACTTATAAGCTTGAAGTGTTATCATCTGATTCATAATTTACTTTACTATTTATAGATGACTTCATGATCTCTTCTATAGCTTCTGTGTATTATATAGTATCTATTTACTCTGATTCTTCATTGATAGATGTCTGAGTATGAGAATGTGAATGTAAAGTTCTTCTTCTATCACTTTATAGTGTAGACAAATCACTCATCAGTCAAAGAAGAGTTGAATGAAGAAATTAAAAAAAAAAAAAAAAAAACGTGTTATATTATACTGTAGAGTTCTGCTATTTCAATTACTAACTAAGCAGATACACTTGAAATATGCAATGTAAATGTGATAAAAGAATTCTTCTATCTGAAGTGAACACATTCAATACTTACATAGATGTTTTTAAACAAAAGACAAAAGTAAAATAAAAAATAAAAATAATGTAATTCTTTGTAAAAATATACTATTCAGACTATAATCTGTGAGATGATTAATCTGTTGTATTCATGTAGAAAGAGCTAGCTATATATATATTATATATAAGATCATGTGTAGACGGAGCAGTTGCTACAACAACATTACTAGAGTGAATACTACACATCTACTCTAATCACATGTCACTCAACTTATATATAGTTTCACTCTAGATAGATTATAGATGATAACATTATTCTTCAACAGATTATAAAGTCATTTAATAAATAACTGCTGATAACACATCAATCACATCTTCACATATTATTAAACATATTTAGATGTCTCTTTAAACCTATGATTAATTTGAGATCTGATAGAACATCAGATCTAATAAAGAAATACATATCAATGTATAGAAAAAGAAATTCAGAAGCACTGAAAGTACAATAGAGAATAACAGTGAGCTTATTAATATTTACAATGAACAAATTCAATAATGATTTTAAAGATTCAGTTATTAAATACATCAGTGAGATGTTAAATAACACAGATAGTCTATATAACTATGATATAAATTCTGCAAGTGAGATAGCTTATATGAGATTGAAGATAATTAAACTTCAATATGAAATTGAATAGGTGAAAACTAGCAGAGTTAATAAGACTCTGACTGATAGTAATAACACTGTCAGTATAAATCTAGTGTAATTTTGACAGAAGTAAAAGAGAATATCTACTCTAATAAAAATTTTAAAGAAGTTTCAAGATCAGATTAAGTATATTAGAAAGTTAGTTATTTTTATAGACTCTGAGAACTACTTAATATAAAAGAAAGAGATTCTACTAGTAGTGAAGTAATTCTGTACAGTTAATATTATTAATAAAAAACAAATCAGTTTCATGAAGAATGTAAGTAATAATATACAATAATTTTAAGAAGAATATAATATATAATTGTATAATTATATATAATACGTAATTACTTTATAAGCAAAATCTTATTTTACTGTCTTAAAGAATTTTGAGCTGTTAGTCTACTCTTTATAAAAAGTCATGAAGAAAAATTTCACTGAAAGACTCACTGTTAGAAGAATAAGATTATATAGAGAAATAATAACTCTATCTATCAAGATAAAGAGCTCAGATTACATCTTTATTAAATATTTAATTATTATACAGACTGAATATATCCATCTAGAATATACAACTAAAGACTTTATATTTTTTAACTATTTACTCACTGAAGTGAGTAAGAGATGAATATTATTTATTAGAAATTAGATGAATTAGATTGATAAGAATAATAGTCAATCTCTGAAAGCTGACTTTATAAGTCTTTATTAAAATATTTTACTATATCTCTTAGTAATGAGAGAAGTTCTGAAGAATGTAATAATAAATATAACTGATAATATAAGAGACTCAGATAATGAAAAGAGTAATAATAAAAATACAGACTTTAAATCTAAATATAAAGACAATGAAATGAGAATCTGCTATATATTCTGAGCTGGAATTTTCTGATTTTGCATATCTGAAATTGATAAATGTATAACAGTTGACTCTATAGATATGAGAAAAACTCTAAGAACTAAAGATTCTCAGATAGATATCATAGTCCCTGACTATATACATCTATAATTGAAGAATAATAATAATAATAATGAGAATCTGCTATCACTGTGAAAAAGTTAATTATATTTAGAATAACTGTTCAAAGAAATACTCTGATAAATATTTTATTAATTTCAATACTGTGTAAGAATAAGTGCTTGTGAGTGATTATTCAGGTGTTTACAGCTTGGTGTGATATATACTGTTAACTACTAGAAGTATTCACAGTAGAAAGATAAAATGTAGAGATTAAATATATAATAGTATTCAAGCTGAGTTGTGAATAGTATTCATGAACTTCAGTCTATATAGTTGTATATAGTCAAGAGCTGCTAACTCTATTAATTATATAAGAGATAGAAATAGAGATAAAGAATCTGTAAGAAGTGAGATTTCTTATATACTTCTTTCTCTCTAAGACTTTATCTACAAAGTCTTTCACTGAGTGATTTCATAGAGTCAGACTCAGCACTGCAGTGATACTCACTAAAAATTCATCATATCTATAAAAAATCTTAGTGAGAAAAAATCCCTTATTACTGTAAAGAGAAAAGTATCTATTACTCAGTTTCTTATTCTATAAAATTCTTTATAACCTGCAGATCTTTCTCTGACTATTATACAGATTCATCTTATATCTTTCATACAGAACAGTTTCAGTTGACTCTTAATTATTTCTGTAAGATTCTTGTATAATTATTATTATTATTATTCTTTCATTATACTCATATGCAAGCGGAGCTTATGATGAGTCCTTGCGTGATGTTAAATACAGGCCAAGTGTTGATTATACAGGAGGAAATACAGGTGTTGAGACCACATCAAGATAACAAGAACATAGGAAATACAAAGAAGTGACAATTAGATACATGCAATAATCCAGCTCAGGAACATAGAGCGATTTATTGAAGCAATTTGTACACCTCTGTATTTATTAGAAACCTGAGGTGCTTGAGTTCCGGATTTAATGTATCCCCTGCGGGTTTCGAACTCACATGCCTTGGTTTCCCACACCAAGGCGCTACTGAGTGGCCGCATTAACCATTCGGCCACCGGGGCATTCTTGTATAATTATTACATAGATTTATTCTGTATCTTTTAATCTGAAGAACTTCAGTTGATCTTCAATCATTTTTCTATAAGATTTTTATATGATCATTACACAGATTTATCTCACAGATGAATTACTTTCTATAAGATTATTCTTATTAAAGAGAAGTATTTTTAAGATAATCTTTTACTCATTCTTATAAATTATCATTCTTTGATACTGTAGAATTGTGAGAAATTTTTCATTCTTTTATTAACTTTGTAGAATTATAGAATTAAGATATCTGCAGTCTGTAATCACTCTTTATAGTTATATAGAAAGATTCAGATCTGTAATTTATAATTATTCTTTATTCACTAGAGTGATCTGACTATTTTATAAAATTATTCATAGTGTAAATAAATCTCTTTAGAGTAATATAAATATCTCAGATCTCTCTGTAAAATCTCATCTTTTTTTTTCATTTTCTATAACAGCTCTTATGTTTACAAACTGTGAGTATTCTTATTCATTCATAAAGTATTTTTTCTTAGATAATAGAGAGAGAGTATTTCTGACAATATCTGCATATTAATTCAAGAACTTTTCAAGAATAAAATTTTTTTTAAATTTCAATATCTT